TATGTATATATATATATATATCGTTCAGCTCTAGCACCCTTCCGGTGCCTAGCTGCCATGCCACCCGAAGGAAGCACGAGGGCTGAGATACTGCCAGGTTGACCAAGCCTAGACAGGGGAAGTCGAAATGCAGAGGTCGGGTTCGAACAACGTACCCTCCGGTCAGTTAACTCACGCTTTAACCACTTGAGCCATCTCGCCTCATATGCGCAGTGGGCATCCAAAGTTCTAATAATGACGGATATGTGAAACAGTGTTCTTCGTTTTCTTCGGCGCGCTTGATTCTGAGCCGCTGGGACCTAACTATCTGCAAAATAGTCTCACCATAAAAATGTAGGTATAAAAGAGGGAACATATCGTTTGTAGTGTCCACAATCGGCTACTCAACACAGAGGCCACTCTACGACTGAATTAGGCCATTAAGCTATCCGAGCGTTCTTGCTTATAAATAGGACAACAAAACTGGTCACTTCCTCCCTTATGATCTTTTCGTCACGAGAAACAATAATTTTGACTGAGTAACGTGCAGCTGGTGAACGGTCGCTATTGGCACTTTCCCCAACTGCCATCACACTGTAGACACTCCAGACCGTCCGAAAAAACAAATAACATGTTCAGCGTATTCCACACCAGATTTTCTTGAAGAGATTCTAGCATTGTGGGTTGGCCTTGATTGTATGTCCATCACTTACACTCGCACTCATCAGTGCAGCGTGTCTTACCCTCTTTGACGTAGTTACATTTACAGGAATGGTCAGAGCGGCTTACCATCAAACCAAACGAACCCGGTTGATAGAATCAGGGACTGTCTACAAGGTTTATATACAACAGGCGGCTAGGGAACTTCACACTTAAATTGGTGGGCACAGGAGAAGAATAAGCAGACCGCCAAGAAGCGAAAATGAATGTCGAGCGCCAGACGTATTCGATAACGGCGGTACATGCGTTGGACACGGAATACAAAACCGGTTCTAGAAAATGTTGAACTTTTAGCTGAAGATGACGATTTACGCCCCGATGCGTCATAATCGATGTGATGCAAAGCGTCAAGTAGGAGTCGAGCTGACACGTGACAGTGTAAGGTTATCAGTGGAAAGGACTTATAAACAAAAGTGGCTTTGGTCCCAATTACGCATCCTAAACAGATCAAAAGTTCACATAATCTCATACTCCTAACCAAATCACCTTAACGCTTACGAACCAACACAGACGAAATTTATAACGTACCCTCCAAGGGATTCATTGGCTTAAGTATCCGGATGATTCCCAAGTTAACTTCTACACCCTCACTGACTGATACCACACATTTACCGTACTGACTGGTTCTCCATCAATCAACCTAGTAAACAGCTTGCTTAACCTGAAAAAACGGGACGTTTTCCAGCTGTAAATCCACTAATTTTTTACCGATTATTTTGGACTATGATGGTATTTGTTCAACTATGGCTGCAAATTGTTCCTGTTTGGGTTTTCATGAGCTCTTCTATCATCTTGGGCTTTGTATTTTCAACTTGGCTGTTTTTTCAGCGCTCAGCATATGTTTTACTCTCGAGGGGTCACCTTAATGAAACGGTTCAAAACATAATAAAATTATAGCTTGAGTTTCGTTACCCTTCGAGGACACATTGTCAGGTAAAGAAGTCTCCTCTTCGCGTATCTCTCAATATTCATTAAAGTTATACAACTAGTTCTTGCGACATGATAAACCGGCTCCATGCACCAAATAACTATCCCTGCTCACTGCTAGCAATGACAAGTTCGTAGAACGGCGGTATGACACTGGAAAACTTCACCTAATCGCTCGTTTTTTTGTTTGACCTTGCACTTTACATTCATCCTGCAAGTCAGGAGGGCAGGTTTAAAAGGTTGAGCTGATTCTCCGTCTAGCTTGTGTTGGTTCAGCTGATGTTATCCATTGTCGCTGAGCTTAGCCGAAGGGCTAGAACTTATATCTACCACTGACTAATTTGGCCCACTCATCGAAGACGTGTGTCGGGTGGGCTTGTGGTCATCTGACCCAACCTTAGTTACTGGTTCTGTCATTTCCTAATGGGTCGCTGCTCTGCGAGCCACACGGCGATTGGTGCCGGTCTCTCAAACTGCGAAACAGATGAACCGACACGTCATTTCTCGCTTCGAGTGTTTTTCTCTTGCCGAAACATATTATATGTGATTACAGCTTTAGCTTGGGACCTTACGAAGTGAATTTCTCGTGTGTGTTGTCTCCACGGTTTCAGAACCATCACTTCTATAGACGACACCGCTCGCTGACTTTCTTTATAGCACATCTGTTTTTTTACTTTTCTGTGTACTGTCTAGCAAACACCAACAGTACAAGTTGGCCAAATATTGCGAAGATATCTTGGGTGACATGCTTCTCACTAAACCGATTGATGGATTTCCTGTGAGTTTGTCAGTCCTCACTACTCTGTTGCTTGCACTGATATCTTTCTTTTATGCCACTTGTTTTGCTACGGGCTCAATGTGGATTTCTTATTTCGTCAACGACTTTGTACCATGCAACAGAGTCGTCGGGGGATCTTTGTTTTCCACCATTAATCTACTGCCGAAAAGGTACCCGGTCAGCATTTGGAACGCATGCACGAAAATCCTGTAGAAACTTAGTGAAATTGAACATCCTGGGCTTCTTTCAATCTATTTCGCCGGATACCCAAACATTTTTGACCGTAAAATTTATCTACCTAACCCATAGACGAGGTTCGACCAAGTCCCCAGTCCCAAGGTAGCCCGCTTCTCAAGTTAGTTTTCATAATCACGATTTTGTTGCGTAAACCTTGACCGCCTGAATTGGTTTGTGGGTGCTTATAATGCGCGCAGTTGCTCCACCCCAACCAAGCCCACTTACTTGGAGCGAGTGAATTATGTCTACCCTTGAACCGGTTTAGACTCAGAATCCCGTGTTCGTTGCTGTTTTCCAAACCTAATCGCATATCACCTGGAATTCACGATTGTATCAATGTTGATACTGGAAAGAATATTGTTGCTCATGAAACAGGAAGTACCTCTGGTACAGCGTTTTCTTTCCAATGAATGCGTGTTTGAAATGCCGTCCCAGCTTTGTGACTGTGCAACTTGGCATCTAAGACATCGATGGATCTAGCCGTGCATTTAACCGGTTATTATTGCCACGTCCTGCTATGATTCGACAGAATGACATTCCAACTTCCTAGCCAAAAATCATTCATTGCATTGGTAACAATGATTAATTACTAAAAACGTGAGTACTATCGTAATTTCGTCTTGAGTTTGTTTTCTGGTTTCCGTATGGGAGGAGTTTACCAATGGTGAAAGAAATTGGAGTATCGTGCTGGGGCGTGATCTCTGCTAAGAGATATTGCACACTAGGTTTCCGTTAGTGAAAGAGGTTATTGCCGGGATTTCGCAGATGTCTTCCTTTGGGAGATTACTCATTAATATTTGAACTTAAAGGGCAGCAACCCCGAATTCAGGAGCACCATAACTCCAGATGCCTCTGGGTCATTTGCTATCTCACTTTATTCCAAGACACCCGTCCGTTCCATAGTTGTCCGTGAGACAACATAGGTTGTGTGCACTTAAATATACCCAACACTTCTGATGCCAGATATCGTCCGCCTCTCTTAATAGCATTAGAATTGGTTTGAACTTGTGTGTGAACTTCTTTTCTTCTCGTGGCTTCTGCACCCAAAATTTGAATAGCGTAGACAAACATATTCTAATTCGGTACACCGGAATCAAGCGGCTGACAAACAGTTTTATGGATGACGATATCTGATTTCTTGATACCTGTTCTGGAAGCTTCAGAGTACACCTTTATTGATAAAGTTCGCAGTTTTTTCGCTTCCAAGACTGCATTCGTTTTGGCAAAGAGAAGCATATCAATGCGAAACAACTGAGCTGGCTATTTGTGGGCAACTTAATAAGTTTGCCTTCCTCATAGTTCAGTTCACTTCTTCAGCCATAAACCATGTACCGAGTGTACGTTGGTTCCAGGTGCTACAGATTGGGTCACCCGAATGTTGGAACTTTGGAGTGGAGCAGTCAAGCATTAGGGACGATGTCATGATCAGTTAGTTCGGGAGGTTGGGTGACTGCGCATTGAAGGCGATAGCTTTTCTGGAGGACCGCCACTGTCTGTGCGGTTGAGCCGTGTCTGCCAGTGCCGTTAGCCATTGGTAGGTCGAGTCCCGAGATCCACATCCAGGAGGACGGTAGTTGTCGACCCGAATGCGCTTAGTGGCTAGTATTTTCATACTTCGTTACCATATTATATACTATCCACCTCTCAATCACTTCCACGTATCAAACTGCTGAGTTAAATGTGCTCTGCGAGCCAGATGGTCCCTCGGCTTACAAAGTACGTGCCAAAACCAACGCCACTTAGCAAATTTAGTGGTTATCAGTGGGCACAGCCATCATCAGCCGGAAGTTTCCTATGGCTCAGCCTTGTGTTATTCCATAAACCAGTACCGAGTGTACGTTGGTTCCAGGTGCTACAGATTGGGTCACCCGAATGTTGGAACTTTGGAGATATACAGTCAAGCATTAGGGACGATGTCATGATCAGTTAGTTCGGGAGGTTGGGTGACTGCGCATTGAAGGCGATAGCTTTTCTGGAGGACCGCCACTGTCTGTGCGGTTGAGCCGTGTCTGCCAGTGCCGTTAGCCATTGGTAGGTCGAGTCCCGAGATCCACATCCAGGAGGACGGTAGTTGTCGACCCGAATGCGCTTAGTGGCTAGTATTTTCATACTTCGTTACCATATTATATACTATCCACCTCTCAATCACTTCCACGTATCAAACTGCTGAGTTAAATGTGCTCTGCGAGCCAGATGGTCCCTCGGCTTACAAAGTACGTGCCAAAACCAACGCCACTTAGCAAATTTAGTGGTTATCAGTGGGCACAGCCATCATCAGCCGGAAGTTTCCTATGGCTCAGCCTTGTGTTATTCGTCTTTTTCTTTTTTCTCAAGTCAATATTTGCTGTGTGCGTTTGATTCACATGCCAAATGTCCGGGCCTCACTCGTGACAAATCCTACTTGAACCGACCCTCTAATCTAGTGATTGATTTGGTATCAGCTAACCACTATACTTATCGTACAGTTAGTTCACCCTGTCCAAAAGAATCAGCTCTTTGATGGAATTTTTCATGAAAATGGGTTACCGCCATTTCGGTGCTACCGTTATTCTAAACCAACCTACCCTGATAACCAGTTGGTCTGTTTCTTTCACCTGACTGAATTTGGAAGTCGAGTGTTATGTCTTTTTTTTACATTGGACGAAGAAAACCTTGATCAAACTTGAATCGGACGTAGTATACGTTTTTTCGTCTCCTATCCTATGTAGTTAGAACCAGGCGCCCCACTACCTCCGCCAGAGAAATTAAAACGAAAAATTTTGATCAAGAACAAGCGTCTGAAACCGGAGGCTGAAAAACGTAAGTTGCGATTACTTTGGGTCTAATTTCCTCCTCTTGAGCCAGGCTATTATTGTGCCACTGTGCATTCTGTACAGGTGGCTTACTACTTTTTAATCCGCGCATTTCTCCTTACTGTGTTTCTAGCACTGTTTCTTTACTGAAGTATGGGTTTATCGGGATGATCCGGTTACTCTCTCCCTTGTTTCGCCTTACTGCTTGTTTCGCTCCGAAAGCATCCCGTTATTAAGTGCTGCTTATTATCACTCAGCATGTTTGCTTCTCAGTGCATCGCCAACGACCATTAATTCGCACTCTGCCATTGTCAGTTTTCTTTTCAGTGCCGTGGGTTTATTATGGTCGTAACACCCTTCCCAAACTGCTGTGAATATAGCTTTAAACTATCTCTGTACGATCCATTGCAAAAACATAGGGTTAAAAGTCGTACTATGCAGTGTCTGTGGAGCAAAGTTGTCACCCATAAATGCTTCCCCCCCCTTTAAGGTGCCGTTCACCAGTTCCTGCAGCCGAGTTAATGTCTAGGGGAATCTCTCGCCTGAGTTCATCACACTGAGTTATGTCGGACAAGACTGTCCTCTTTCACATTTCTCTACAGCCTTGTCATTGATACGATTATAGAAGACTCACTACCAGCCTCTAGTGTCTGTGGGTTCCGAATGCTCCCAGAGCATTCGCTCGCAGATGTTGGGTGCGCAAACGACATTTGTACGGCAAAGTATCGGTGTTGAACACTGATTTCATGCAGTCGGTGATTATATTGTTGCAGACGACATAGCTCTTCTTTTATTCGACGCCGCGGCAATACAAACGATATTAAATAGTCTAAATAATCCTGCCTCACGGTTTGGCATGCGCTTCACACCTGAAAAGTGTAAAGTGCTGCAAGACTGTGTGGGCTGGAAGCTTAACATCATACTCGCGGATGAGTCGGTTGAGTTAGTAGACAAATTTGTCTACCTTGGCAACTGTATCCGTCCCAGTATTTCAGCGGAAGATAATATTTTCATCCGGATTTAGGAGGCCAGAACAGCTTTTAAGAACCTGCGTCACATGTGGCGTAGGCGTGACACCAGCTTATCCGTGAAGGGTCGAGATCACAATGCTATGCGGGTCAGAAACTGGGCCGCTGCTCGCCAAGGACGCCAGAATAATCTCAATGACCATCGTTGTCTTCGGGTCTAGTTGGAACACCGGATCAGTATGTCCAGTGGTTTTAGAAAGAAACAACTCTCCAATGATAGGTGAACTGATCAGACCCTATAGGTTGTGCTGACTTAGTCACGTGCTCCGTGTGCTGTTCGACGGACTTCCTCGAAGGGCTCATTCGGCACAACCACTGGAAGGGTGAAAATGAGCCAGGGGAGGTCAAACCATGGCTTGGCAGCGAAGTATGAAAAGCCATTACCAGCAAACTCAGCTGCGCTGGTCATTAGTGGCTCTGGATAGGGATCCCGGAACTGGACACATCGATGACCAGACGCATTGTCATTCATGGCTCACTCGGGCCCTTAGCGGCGCACATGCTTTCAAGATATTGCCTTCACTTCATAGCTCCACGTCCAATCCAAGCCATTACAAACTCAGCTGCGCTGGTCATTAGTGGCTCTGGATAGGGATCCCGGAACTGGACACATCGATGACCAGACGCATTGTCATTCATGGCTCACTCGGGCCCTTAGCGGCGCACATGCTTTCAAGATATTGCCTTCACTTCATAGCTCCACGTCCAATCCCTGATTAAAAGTCCACTGACACCCGTGTATTTACGCATCAATCATATCAGCTACCGTCTTCAGGGTACAGCCACCCACCTATCTCCCCAACCTATCGGTGAAGGAAACCATAACCAGTGTACGACAAGTACGTGGTTTTTACAGAAACTGCTGCTGCTGCTGTTCTGATGCTGGTGATGGTGAAACAGTTTAACTTGTCTGTGTAAACTCAATCACAAAAGTACGTGTACGTAAAAATGGAACGATCATATTTGGTAACCCATCCTCGTGTGGGAAGTTTGTTGATGAATATTATCCTATTCGATAAGCGGTACGTAGAGAAAAGTGGGCCTTTTGGTGCGGGGGCCTCCAGTTGTTTTCTTCAGCTGTTATCTTGGTAACCGACACCGGGTCTACTTTTAGCTGGTTCGATTTTCTTTTTCACTATCACCTTTTCGCAAGTTTCATTCTTCCGCAAGTATTCGCTCCGTCAATCTATAGTGCTAACTCGCTTTAGTAACACTCATGCTAACATTTTTATGCCTGGAGTTGCTCATGTCAGGTCTTGTTTTCCAGCCCCTCTAACCATGCATCCACACACTGTGTCTGTGCTGCTGCAAAATTGTTATTGCTGTAGTCTGATCTGAGGGCGAGATGGCTCAAGTGGCTAGAGCGCGAATTTACTGACCGGAAGGTCCGTGGTTCGAACCCGACCTCTGCCTCTCGACTTCCCCCGTCTAGCCTTGGGCAACCTGGCAGTATCTCGGCCCTCATGCTTCCCCAGGGTGGCATGGCAGCTAGTCACTGGAAGGGTGTTACTGCTGAACGACCTATTTATTTTAGTCTGATCTGTCATGTCGCCCCTCAGCAAGTTGCTGTTTCATTCAGGGAAGCGTACACACCAATGGTGCTGTCGAAGAAGCGTATGTCCACGGATAGTATCTATGTTACCAATTAACCATAGGTGAGCCAGAAGCTTGGTTATGAACGGACTTGCTTCAGATTCTACGAAAATCCTAATAAGTAAACTGGTTTGTAATGTTATATTTACATCATGTGCAACTTATCAGTGTTGCTTACACGAATACATGCACCTCGAATGATTGTGCGTCATTCAGTTTTATGTTATAATAGCAGCGACTCGAAAGTTTGTTTGTTCACACTGTGTTTCCTTTATTATGATCAACACTGTTCAGATCTTCTATTTGCTGGCTTCATTCATCCCTCTGTTCCATGTAGAACAATTGGAGTTATTCCTCAAGGGTCAAACTGACGCCATTCAAGAGGAGAATGACATTGCTGAAGACCCTGATCTTACGGTGGATGTTGATGGGAAGTTCGGTTCGCTGTTGCTCCACGAACCATCGGCACGATCTTGTTGTAAATTTTTTTCACTCCATCCACTACTGCATGCATACCTATCTAGTGTTTCTCTACTCTGTCCTATCTATGAACCGTGCATGACGCACCAACACTATTGCTCGTCCCGACATACTCAGGTTGTTTAAAAAATAACTCGCCTTAGTGAAGGCAACGCCGACACACACAGGGCTTACATTTAAGCAAATAATTCACAGTGTTTTTCGTCACTAAGGGGACTTTCTCCAGTTCATTTGGCCAGCGTACACCTGTCTAAGTAAGTCCAACGCTCTCCAAGCCACCAGACTTAGCTACTGAGGAAGCTAGATTGATGGCCCCAAGGCCGTTGTCACCTGGAGTAGTCAAACTAATGCAAAAGGTCTAATTGCCAAGCCAATTTTCCAGCCCTTCCCCTAAAATGCATTGTTATTGCTTTGTTGCTCACTTTACTTATTCGCACTTCGCTTGTGCACCATTGACCAATGAGGCCTTACTATGCTTTCCTTTTAAAGTATCAATGGTCCGCTCGCTAACTAATGCTTTATATTGTTTTCTGTTGATGTCTGCTTCTAACATTTAACTACTACTTCCGGTGCTTGAGGCTCTATTGATTAAACTCTAGTTTTGTTTACATTGCTGTCCAAAAAACGCCACTTAGACCACCAATCCCTCGTGTGCACCCAGGGCTAGGTAGCACGTTCATTCGAGGTCCTCAACGGACATGTTGTTTTGTACTTTATGCAACCTCTACCAAAATTCCACCGTCTTTTCATCACATCAAACCACATAGTTCAGATTTACGGTCCTATGCTTTGGCATATGCCTTCCTCAACCCTTCCTTCCCAAATTCCTGTCGTGCCGCCTGACTGCACTTTTCTGTACCAGGACACTGGTCCAATGCGGCTTAAACCAAAGTGAATCGTCTATAATGTTACCTATATCCCTTTGTACTTCATCCACTATTGAGAAATGAGCTTCGACACATGGAAACCCTAACTGTTTAACTGTTGGACAATTAATTGCTCCAATGAAATACCAGCGTCCGAGTCATTTCCTTTCTTATCTAGGGGGGTTCTCGTGGCCTGAAATCTGCTTGCTCACATTCTCATTGTTTATCTTGATACTTCCGAGCAGATCAATTCTCCCGAAGATGGCATACCTCAGTCAGAGAATCAGTTCTGCTTTTTCCAGAGGAAGTGGGTTCTCTTCAGCTAGATCATCTCTGCTCCGGTAGCATTATTCCAGATTGCAAAAAAAACATGCAGGAGTATCTTTGAAGTTTGTGGGCCCTAGTATAATTATAGGGCAGATTGTATGTATTTTCTCCAATCCTCACGTCTTTAGCCGGTTGCTCCAGGATAAACCTTGCGTCCGAGTCCTTTCTTATCTAGGGGGGTTCTCGTGGCCTGAAATCTGCTTGCTCACATTCTCATTGTTTATCTTGATACTTCCGAGCAGATCAATTCTCCCGAAGATGGCATACCTCAGTCAGAGAATCAGTTCTGCTTTTTCCAGAGGAAGTGGGTTCTCTTCAGCTAGATCATCTCTGCTCCGGTAGCATTATTCCAGATTGCAAAAAAAACATGCAGGAGTATCTTTGAAGTTTGTGGGCCCTAGTATAATTATAGGGCAGATTGTATGTATTTTCTCCAATCCTCACGTCTTTAGCCGGTTGCTCCAGGATAAACCTTGAGCTGCTCGGGTTCTACTTGCGTCCCTTCTGGGCTTTGTTTGTATCTCGTATTCAAGCCAAACCCATTGGAATCTTCTCTAATCTCCCAAATCTACCTGAATGCAGACTGTCGTAATCAATAATAGGCATCGACTAATGAATGAACTCTCCAAAACCTTGCATAATTATGCCATAAATTACCCCGTAAATGTCTCATTTCTCATACTCATGGGATTTCAGCAGTCTCCAGGTCAGGTTTACGGGGTCCCATTCTCCACCACAACCTAAATTCTCCCCTCCATGAAGTATAACCATATAAACATTGGTCACTCACTTGAAAACTAGCGGTCAATCAAAGTCGAAAGGTCGCTTGAGTTTATAACCCCTTCACCACCATTCAATGCATTCGTTCAAACCAGTAATTGGTACACTATTGATAAATAACTTCCACATTCTGGATGGCGTCCAAAAATTAAAGTGGAACTTAATCTCGATGTTGTTCGTTGCACTGTAAACCAGCTGTAAATTAGCAAACCTAAGCTGATTGTTCAACTCTATTGGCCGGGTCGAACAGGTTTCATAGGTTAGATTCCTCGTGTGTGTTGGCTTATCCATCGTGTGGAATTGCCATATGACTCATCAAACGTGTAGTTTTGTATTTTTCTGGGTTATTCCTCCTTAGGAGTGAAGTGAGGAGTGACATACCGAGCTGTGGAAAATTCCACAGACGTCCATGAGGGCATGCTTATTGTATACTCTTCTGAAAAGTATCTTCTGGACGGAAGGCCTCTTTAGGGGGAGTGTTGTATTCATATTGTTCGCATGTTGCTTTTACTGCCCATCTGTGCAGTTTTATGTCGGCTTTCTGTTACTCTGTACGCTGCCTCGACTGATGAAGAAAACCGGTCGTGGTATAAACAGCAAACGGAGAACTATTATTAACCGGGTTGATCAGACTTGTTAGAAACAAATGTCACATGCTAGTAGAATTTTACACCGGGGCGACATTGAGCTTAAAGCACAGCCAACTGGCAGTCAGTTGACACGAACACAGGCATGTGTCCGTTTAGCTGACTCATCCTCATTGAAATAAGCATGTCACGTAATTTCCCAAGCGTATATATTTGCAGACTATGGTTGCAATTACTTGACGGATATTTGACGAATATTTTTCAGACTAGCGCAGACTCTCCTTCAGTCAATAGGCCTGTTGTCCTATGTGATGTCTATGATTGGAGTCATTATGGTGCTCCAAATTGTGGCCAACGCACTTTGTTGTTGTTTTCGCATGTTGATGGTGGTCAATGACGATGTAAATATGGAAATATAGCTTTCTGACCAATCCGAACAAGGCTGTTCTCTTTCTTCTCTCTGCTAACAGATTCAGAAAGTGGGACTAAAGGTTTAAATGGTGAAAGCGGTCTATCTAGTTCAAGTAACACCCCAGCCCCTCCATCAGGTGGAAGTTCAAGCGCTGACCTGAAGCGCCTTCAGATGAAGAAGGTATGTTCCCGTCCTGTCTACGTCTTCGCTGTCTACCCTGGACATTTGTTTTATCTGGAACATGCCCTTTCACCAAAATTTTCTATCATTTATGGCATTTGTTGTTAATTAGGATATGGGGCTGTATTTCTCACAGAGTTGCTTAACGGAAGTAGATAGATGTACCATACGGCAACTCAGACTCTCTAATTAGTAAATCGATACCCTCTAGGAGCGAGCCCCGAAGAGCTGATGTTTCGGTGAACCTAATCAAGTGACCCAGCTTCTGCGGCTTTTCATTTCAAAATGTACAATGTCTCTATAAAAAGTTGTTTCAGAAAGGCAAATGATAGGTCAGGTGGCCTGATTGAATAAAAGTTGTGAGAGTTTTGTAGTTGTTGTTCAGCTGACATCCTCATCAGCCCTGCACGCTTTGTAATTGAATCGGCCCAATGTAATTCTGTTTTGTAGCTTCAACCTGCGGGGCATTATTCCACAAACGATACTTGCATTAACCACGTAATCGTTGGCTTACCGCCGTTTCATCTGGACTTGGGTTGTGATTATAGTGCTCATCATTGGCTGGTACCCTTGTATATCCAAGTGATTCTTCCGGGCCCCCTAATGGACATCATTGACTATTGTGATTATATCGAGCTATTGTGACTGACAACAGAAAAGGATTTCTGATTTCTACAACCTTTCTCGCTTTTTAATCAACTGGAAAAAGTTTGGAACCGATTGAATAGTCATCGTTCCGATTGTTTACCAGACTCTCGCTAAAAGCGAGAGTTTGGTCTATCCGAATCAGTTGTATCGTTCAAGAACGGCACTAACTTTTTGTGATCATCGTCACTTCTGAAGAACGAAGGCCCATTTCCCACCAATGTTTCTCATTAGACAGTAATACCTTCGGGAACTGCCAAAATGTCCCCTCTTTCAGAGTGCTTCCTCGTGTGGGTTGTACGACTAAAAAGAATTCTGCACACCGTTATAGTAAAATTCCGTCTGCATCAGGTTGTTTCGAACATGTGCGAATGTGCGACGAAATATTTTGGTTCAGTTGGGTCGAGTGTTTTGGATATTCACTATTATTCTGTAGTGAACATTTTTCACTATCCCTTACCACTCAAGTCAATACAAACGGCTGGTTCTTACACCTCACACCTAAATTCAAGTAGAGACCATAATTTTTTTTTACTATTTTAAAAACGAGAATAACAACTGCGACTGAGGACCCATTAAATTTCCACTTGCTCCTGCGTGTGATAGATCCCGTCTAATGGTGTTGCGTGCGTCCCTTTGCAATCTCGAGTCAAACCGAACAAGAAGTATCCGCTGAAATGGTCAGAAATAGTTGTGACATTGAACGACTGACGCGCCAGCACACTAATAAATCAGTCGTTGTAACAGGAAATTTGTATTCCGTCGCCTAGTTTTGGGAATTAATTCAACCCTCTAGAAACTCACCGGTATGTCTTGATTTTTAAGCTGGGGGTTGAGATGGGAAAATCTCCGCACTCGCCAAACTTTCTCCTTTTTTGAGTTACTACTGTATGGGAGTATTGTTTGGAGAACCTTCACTAACAAGATGAACAGGTGTGTCCACTGTAGAGAGGAAAATGAAATAATTATCAACCATGCTCGCTTTTAAACGATAGCCTCGTAAGGGTCAGGGATTATCGTCAAATAAACTTTTTTATCCACAAGCTTCGACTTAGTTTACACTCACTGACCCACAAATTCGGATTCTGTATCGTACGCACTCATTGTGACATCTATATGCATGCCAATCGCCCTTTGCATGTTGTTTGTTTCCTTGTTTTGTTTGGCGTTCCATCCTACGATGCTTCTCGTTGCATTATCGCCCGTGCCGTTCATCACATCCGTGCGTTCTCCTGGGTCGTCGTCGTCATCATCATCATGGCATGTTTGATCTGCGCGTTTGGTGCTCTTGTCCACATCGGGCACTCCATTCCAGGAGGAGGTGAGTCTGCCTCCTCAGAGTCCCTTTTTTATGGCTTGACTCTCATGTTGACTGTAGGCGTATTATCCTTGAAGGGAAAAAACTTTGCAATCCTCGTCACCGGTATGCCGTCAGAGACAACAGGGTACAGCATGTTACATTTAAGAATGAATGTCTCAGTATTCAGTTCTTTTGCGTTTTTGTTGTTTACTCAAAGCTGTGGTCCGGTCCGTTTTTATTTGTGGCGGTGATTATAATCCTCATTTACTGTCCACCAACGTCTGCTTCATTGTCCTACTAGGGTAACCTGACTGCAGAGGAGGAACAGATGATGATGGTCCAATACCAACACACAGGAGCAACGAGCAGCATACACCCTCTCCTGTCTTCATTCATCAATTATGTCCAACCGGTGAAGTTCCAAGGATTCGATGTCGCTGAAGGTCAGTTTCTCGTCTGTTCGGTGCTTTCCAAGTTGTTCAGAAGAAGAGCCGACTGAGTCCACGAAGTTCCTTTTATTGTGATGATCTCTTATGTCCGCTAACGTATACCGTCTTTCATAAATCTTTTAACAGTGTAGTCATTAGTTTTGCTGTATAACCATCGACCCTCCCAACGAGGACGTTAATATCCATTAGCGTTTGCAATATTCGTAACTACTGTCATCTGGTAATGGTCACCGTTGCAAAACCGTAAGCGTACCGAAGCATTGGATATTTATGTATAGTCAGTGTACGGCAACGTCTCGGTCGGACCATCAGTAAGACCGAAGGAGCGGATTCATTTTTTACAACCATAGCTGCCTTGATACGAACTGAATTCATCTCGCAACGTTCAAAGTGATTCCTAGGTTCACAGCACCTCAACCCCGTAACGAATTAGACCGATAGACAGCAACATGTCAGTTGATCCGTTCACCGAGCATGGCACTTTGCCCGCAAATATTTGGTCACCAATCCAGGAGCCATCATTAGAGTGCGGCTGAATGGATGCTTCCTTCCTACCTACATGGGTTTATGTAGTCTTCAAGGAGTACCTGGTGTATATTGCTGCGATTGACTACCTAGAACACCTTTCTCGCAGCTTTTAACCAGAAGCACCACCTTTCTGCCCATTTTGATTTGTGTAACTCTATGCTTCCTCGGCCTTCGTTTTTACACTGCATACGAACCCAATCACATCTCATGTGTATTTATTGTGGTTTCGCCCCCCAACTTACAAACTACGAAAAATCTCATCTCGTTTCGTGGCCAGCCGTTGACTTATTGATTGGTTTGTACCCGGTTCATTTGGCTGATCTGATCAGCTGATTATATAGAATCAAATACGCTGCTTACCACATGACTCAGTGTCTCCATTCGATTAATTGATTTCCAGTTTGTATTTGCACCCAACTCCATTAAGTAATTATGTCGCGCATGCACTTCGCATAATATTCGCCTTGGTTCATGTCTCTCTTCCCCTGCTTTCTGTTTGTCGTGCAACATTCCGCAATCACTTCATACGCTGCAGAGAAGAACCTACACTTCCACATGTCCTCGTTCAGCGAAACCATCTCGTTGGGTCTGATGAAAAATCAGGCCATTGAATATGTCAAGTATCCGGAATTTGATGTGTCTTCCTCAGTAGCACTAACCAAGGGTGCATCACCTTACAACAGAAATGGCTTGAATATAGTCCCACCGTAGTTTGCTTGGGTTTGGCTTTGGTGTTGTTTCTGGGGTTTTGGTCATGTGTTACGTTTGTGTGTGTGCACAAGCTCGCATGCTTACCGTACAGTATTCGTTGTTCTGTGGGATACTGTATCCAATTTCCGTGACAGAATTCACAATATGGCATGCTTTTGTGAAATACGTGTTTGCGGTCCCGAACTTTTGACTTTACTGACCATTCACGAAATTAAGTTCTGTTACTTTCCCAGTTTACTTGCATGACAGTTTAGCCGTAAACAGTCACTAACGCAACATTGGTGCATGTCTTTGTTGTCTCTATATCTTCTTCCGTTTTCTCAACGTGCACTCTTCCCTTCCTTTCTTTGGCCGCCCTCGTCGTTGCACGTATGCAGAACGAAACCGATCCTACGTCATGTCGTCATTCAGCGAGAGCATGGCGTTGGGTTTGATTAAAAAAGAATGTATTGACTTTGTTAAGTATCTTTTTGTGTTGTTTCGTCAATGTATCGTGTATTTTCATATGTGCGTTTTTCGTTGTATGTCGCAAGCGTTCATGACAAGAGTGCTATACCTTGACCTTGAGCTATTAGCTATAACAAACGCCAGATGAGCCGAATTTACCCCAGGGGAAACCGTGTCGATTCGAGCAACTACATGCCTCAGGTAAGACGTTTTCGCTTCGTTTGCCGTTTATTGTGTTTTGACCTGATTTCCTATCTTAATCTAATAACCGGAAACCCATTGTTATAGTTACCCGCAAAATGACTTTAGTGTCGACGATTCAATGAAACAAATGTGGGTCAGTCTCTGGGTTTCTGTTTCTCAGGAGGTATGTGTGAATACGTTGCTATCAGTTCTACTAAAGAATGAGAGTGAACGTTTTACAAGCTCATGTAATCATTGTTGCACTGAATGGCTTTACGAGTAGTGTGCCCGTCTTAGACCACCGAGATACTTCATTTTCCATGGCCTCGCACACCCATGTAGACAACCGTTCTTCAGGCCTATCCGTCGAATGCCAGCTTCTTTTGTAATCTAAAATAACGATTGCGCGTTTCGAACCTTGACCACGGTATCGGGATTCTTGTTGTTCTTCAATCCGAACTTATGTTTTCAGCTGACTGCAAAAAAATTAATCTCGAGATGCAATTCTCCGCTATCAGCTGGTCTGATTAGCGGAGGTGGTCTGATTGTCTGGAGCCGCATTTGAGTCGCTTTGAGCTTACTGAATCTAGGCATTTATCTCAATGTATCCGGCTGCGTTGAATAGCTGGGTCTTCGTTGGTTGAAACACCCGTAGGTGGAGAGCTGGTTGTGAACACGAAGTTATCAGCTAGCAGGGTGCAATGGGTTCCAGCCCGTCAATCAGTTCCCTATCAAAAAGTTCGAATGCCTAATAACCATACCGTGACAAGTTATACCTGACGGGTCTTAAAGTAAAAATACTGGCCCTGAGGGTTTTATTTACTAGCAGCCCCGTTAGTTTAATATTATCATATGGGTTACCAAAATTTCTCGTGGAACAGCATGTCACAACGTCTTCAGCGTGCGGCCTGGATGACATAGGTTCCTCTGCAAACCTGACAGTTAAACGTACATCTCTTTCGAATGGTTTACGAACTCACTGGCTTACATGATAGTGAGGTGCGATGGAAATCCTGTATAACCTTCTTCCGTCCAACTAGCATATGGAATACCTCCATGGTCACCATCTCATTGAACTGCAAACTCACTGTCTCACCTCGTTGTTTTGCATGTCAAGTTCCTCATCCACAAGCGTTCTACCTCAATCTGAGCTACGGGTTAGTGTCCTACTCCTGTTTCTATACTCACGGCTGATTTTTCACCATGTGACACTCAAGAACGCTGCTCCTTCTGCTGCGTGCATATTAACAAATAACTACACAATTGTTATCTCCCATCCGAACTTCCACCTTGCGACAATTTATAGTCCAGTGATGTTTACTCTCTGCCATACTCATTACATGAACCAGGAGAAACCTAGGAGGATCCACACTTCTTCATTTTGTCATCTTTGCGTCTGCTATTCACTTCCTTTGGGTAATGTACATCTGAGGTTGCACCATCGTCATCCATATCTATTTCAGGAAAGTGCTCTGTGCTTGGTTTAAGAGAACAAGAAAGTGCGCACCATCCTCCAGTCACCTTCGTGCTGTGAGGCCTGCATGTTCGATTCGAACTACTAAAGTGTTTAGAGCGTAAACTGCTTATCACAGCTACGTAGGTGCACTTGGAACTTGCGTTTATGATTTCTATTCTCATTCATCTGTTTCCTATTGCTTTGGATTGTACGAAAATCTCGTGACTGATTACTGGGTGCACCGCTACCGTTCGGGACACAAATTTAACTGGATCGTTCGATCCACAATTTATTTGTAGTTGCTAGGACAGATCCAACACCAACCTAAGTTCTTCGCACTTGGCCAACTTACAAATTGTGATGTGCCCAACAGCACTGAAAATTGGTGGTCGACATGAACAGTGGTTGTGATACGGTCTGCACTAGCTCTCACATTGTATATTAAGCATCAGCAGCTGCCGGGTGAGAGCACGCGGCAATTCGCGCAGTGTAAAATGACCAGCAGCTTATGAGCCCATTGTGGATCATGGTGGTCTGAGTTCACTACAGGAGCAGATTTGTTTGGTCCTCATGTGTAGAAGTTGAGAAAAGTGGTGCTGTGAGGCAGAAATGTGACGCATCCATATTTCACTTATCTGCGCATGCACTGTGCTGCAGCGGTGTCCGCAGTCATCGGTCTAAAGGTCTTGCATTCGAGTCACGTTCATAAAAGTTAGTATTTTCGTTTTCATTTTGTTCTTGTGTTTCTATTGGAGACTTGTTGCGACGACTGCCTATCAAGATTGTACTATCCGCTGTACCTTTCGAATTGTGAATTTTTACGACTTCTCTGCCTGCTGCTCTTCTTCTGCAGCCATGAGCCAAAAAGAGTAGTCAGGTTCTCGTACCTCGGCTCGGCGATCAGATAACTTCATTATTCATACAAGGCAGCGATAAATTTCGCGTAACCAAAACATCTTTGGTTTCAGTGTGATGGGAGGATCTCGATGAAGGAACTTTGTGAAAAGCGGTAATACGGGCTCTATTAATGTGTGCCTTCGATGCTTGACTTCGTTTAGCGCTGCTCGTCTCTGCTGATGTAATGGCGAAGCTTTCAGTTTTACTGAACTTGATTCCAGTGGTCCATAGTGGTGACTGGTTATATGTGGCCATATATCCCCGAAGACCACTGGCAGACGTGTTGGAAGATTTGGAGGTAGATTAGACAGTCAATCACCAATTTTCAAAAGATGAGTAGTTTAAAATCACGTTTGGTTACAGATCATTGGGTTGGTTGGGAACAGAGACGTGCTGATTGCTTACGACAGAAAGGCTCAGTGGTTAAACTTGAAACTCAATGAAGAGCATGTATTCTCCATTCTACCATCACTCAACACGACAAAAATGCAAATCTTACCTGCTTCAAAAACGTAAAAGTGAAAAGATTTTCGCATGTTGCTGCTAATCTGCTGTTTGTCCACCGATTCTTCCCGGCTTCCATGAATATTTGGCGGAAGATGTCTGTAGTAAAGTACAATACAAATATGTCCCACATCCGTAGGCAATGTCCCCATCATTCTCCTTTTGTCCGTAGATATTCTGGAACGCCGGATGTCAGATGGTAGCGTTGAATTTCCAGACACCGGATTTGGCGATGCAGTTAAACCAGGGAAAATTCGAATACAATGGAAATTGTGGGTAAGTTGGTGGACCGCGTGTTATTGCTTTGTTCAACATATAGATCATTCGGAACTTTTTTTCATTTGAATACACTGAAACTTGTTGTTATTTCGGAAAGATTCTAACGTTGAACATAGCTGGCATGTTGTTTGCTAGCTGGGAAGAGAACATATTTGCCAGAAGAAAAAGAACAAGAGATAAAAGTGCATGTATTTACTGTTGATGATGAACCGAAACAGACAACCGAAAATGCAGGTAATAGTGTGAAAGAGAACACTCGCGGTGGTCGGAATGTCGAGTTGTATAATATCCAAGCTCAATGCACGCATATGTCACTACACTTCTGCAACAACCCAAAGTGTGATGCAAATTAGCGCACATTCCCACCTAGCCACTTTTCCACTATGAGGTTTTGACACGGCCTGGAACCTCGCAGCCTATACTTTATATTGGTGTCCTCTCAGAAAGACCGGTGACGTTTCCAATTGGGTTGCCAATCTGTTTTGCATCAGGAACTTGGCCCTCTGGCATAATCCGAATCTGACCACCTTTCCGGTATTTGGACTGGCTGGCGTGCCATTCATGTCTATTTTTTGGGGTGAATGCTGACGCGCCGGTTGTTCTTCTCGGGGCATATGGATTGATGGTAGCTCTGGCATGACCCTCAGTTGAAACAGTCTTGTCTAGTATGTTTATAATCATACCTGCCATTTAGTAAGCCCGCGCCACTGTTCTTCTGCTCGAGAGAGGGACTAATAAAAGCATTCCAAGGTTTGATCCCACCCTGGTATGCAGCTGACTGTGACCAAAGCTCGAATAAACATCTCTGGTCGAAATAACGACACATACAACACTATGCGGCTAGTCTAAAGCACGGTTCCTGTGACCAGACCACCTTCATCCTCAAACTGCGCCCATCCTATTGCAGATTAATCGGGAACGATAGTCCTTCCCCGAGAGAACGCTAATCATTAGCTTGTGAAACTTCCCTGGACTGCTTGATGAAACTACTAAGTACATCTAGCATCCTCTTAGGTGCACCTCATTAGTTCTGAAGGCATATTAATGCCGCAACCCTGAGCGAAATACGATTGGCTGACCAACAAATTCTTCGTAGAGCTTGTTCTGGATACACATTCTACTGCATCGTCTATGCAATGCGAAAAAAATTGAATGGAAGTGTTAATTTCACCCTGTCTGACCGCATCAAGAAGATGATCGGCTCAGAAGACCGTGGAATCAAAGGACGGCCGATAATGACAGGCCTAACATTTGTGGTCGGGGTGTAAGCTCTAAACTGGGCTCAGCATCGAAAATGATACTGTCCTTCCCTAGGTTCCAAAAATCTATAACGTTATCTTGCAAGAAGATTAATGCATGTATCGGTCGTGAACATCCTCTGTTGAGAGACCTCGGACGCCATGATGTTGGGACTGTAAGCACTCACAGCGGCCGACTACCCAGAATTTACGCCACTGCCAACATGAGAGCTCTCCTCGAGCAACAGCATATTACCACATTGGTACACAAATGCGGCGAATATTGCCTTTTCCATAGATTTCATGAAGGCCTATGACTCCGTCGTCTGAGGAAATCTGTGAGCCATTCTCTCCAAGTATGCCCATCCGTCGAAATTCGTGAATCTCATCCGAAGCCTACATGATGGATTGATAATGAGGTTGCGACCGAATAGATCCACTTTATAGATTTCAAAATCGTCACTGGCCTTACACAAGACTACGTCTTCTCCCGGCTCTCTTCAATCTCAATCTTACAGCACTTGCGGATGTGGCTTTAGTAGACGATGATGCTGTTATACATTTCATACAAATGGAGCTCTTTTACCACCGCCCATCAAGGCTGTAGGAGAATTTGTGGACTACTTCGCGGACTTCTGCTACTTCGGACGCACATCAAATACTGAATTGATCGGCCACCGCGAGCCACGTGAGATCCCGTGTTGCCAAGGTTGGTTTCAGTTTCAGAAAGCCTGTGAACAATCATGAAGGATCCGAAACGTGTTACTAGAGGCCAGAGTTCATTTCTAGAAAGCGATCTCGCAATCAGTCCTCTTGTATGTCATGGGAGCAGTAACCATGTGCCGTCACAACCTTTGATGCTTGAGCAGCTTTCAAATGCACTATCTGAAGAGAATACTGAACTGAACGAGTGCCTGTCACGGAGGTTTTCTGACGCTTGCGTTGCGATGGACTAGGGACGACGATTACATTAAACTGTCTGCGGTGTTCGGAACGGAAGAGTACAGGATTCTCAAACTGCTTCTGTGTTCAATTGAATACGAAAAAATAGAATCCTGGCAAGCGCTAGCTTTGACATCTGGGCATCTTGTTTGAAAGTCTGAAAGCTGCCAACGTGGATCTCGTGGTACCGTAGGCTGGAGGACAAAACAGGGTGGCGTGGCGAGAAACGAAACGATACCACCGTACTAATACTGGTACTAGTAATAGCTAGACATTTGTTTGCCTCGTGTACGTCCCCCTGTCTCTACGGGCCACCAGACCTTTTGCATGCAATGTGCCTCAGCTGTCCAGTTGCCGACAACTGACAAATCCTCGGCTCCTGCTCACTCATCAATTCGTTCCGTTTTTCCGGATGGTTTACGGTTCACTTCACATAAACGCCTGATTGGTCTACGTTACATAGTCAATTCAGGCTATTGACTAATTTGCTAATCGACAGTAACCAGTGCGTGACTGCGTTTTGTTGGTAGTTTGCTTCTTGTTGTGACAGTGGAAATACCTTCAGTACACGGAATTCCAGGATGGGGCAAAATAGTGAAAAACAAACTGATACCTGCTTACGCTTTCTGTGATGGAAAAATCATTTTGTGTTTTTCACGGTACGCGGTTAACTTTTTTTCTCGCTCTCCGGTCTAATCAAGCAAAACAGGACAAATTGTTTCTATCTCTATCTCACCATACAACTACGGTGATCAAGTAGGGGATCTGTGTAACGTCTGAAGACGATCTATTAGGCTTATCTTTTAGTTACGCGTTCCTTGTTTGCATTGTTGCCAAACAGTAGCAGTTCACCAGCTGTTATGTTGTCAGTATTCAGTGCACCTTTTCCGGGTGCTTGTCCTGATGGAAATGGATACATCGTTATTTTGTCCGGTAGCCTCATTCATCTAAATTCTTCAAACGCCTGTCGCTTAAATTGTTGGGATTGTTCCGCGCTCTCTGTGTAATCAGGTCGCGCGGTCCATTTGAGTACAGGTATTCCCTTTCACATGATTGTTCTATGTGGCTATTTACCTGGTAACACACAGAGCACATTTTGCGTAGCAAAGTAAATAATCACACTGATCTAAAGGAGGTGTGAAGGGCGGATCTGTCATAGTTGTCCCACTTTTCAATGGATGCATCGCGTACTTTGGTGTTGTAATGCAAAGCAGCAATCGATTAGCGCGAAGGTCAGGTATTTGAGTTTAATTGGTAATCACTGGTGGATCCTCACTATCGGTGGCAACATGGCAGATTTTCTTCCGTGGCTGGCGCGAAGGAGCCAAGAGGTAGGACGACTCGGCTCATTACGCAATCAAGTGCCATTCATAACCAATCTGCAATTAGCACATAACTGTGCCTTTTATTCACCATTGTCCCTGCGCGCCGCTTCCAGTTCTAAATTGTCAATTAAATTTGCCTCACCAAATCACAACTCAGCTTTTTCGTCCGTGTGCCCTGAACAGTCTGAGTGTGTTCACTGTGTTCACTTTGCGTCTTCGGTCCAAGTTTGCTGTTCAGAAGCAAATTTCGTCGACCTTGCTCCTAATTAGCTGTCTGTGTACCACAGATGTTAAACACCACCCATAAGGTTGCTAAAAACTCCTCGGCAGCCGACGACCGGTTTCTTTGGTCTCATCAGTTAGGCGCACTCTCCGAGTTTCCATGAACCTTATGTTCTAGTTGAACCCAAATGCGCGAAATTAGCGAAGTACATTCATTTGCACACCTATTTGGTTTTCACGTGAGGTTAAACTGAATCCCTGCCGAATCCCTCTTTTAGTGTGTGTGTGTGTGTGTTTTACTTCGATACAGTGCCTCGAATACAGAAACATGTTTCGGCCAGGTGCAACATATTCAGTTGAAAAACATAAATGAGAGATTCAGCTGGGTCTCCCATGAAACTCAAATTGTTATGCAAATGAGTGTATTTCGCTAGCTGTCTGTTCCTTTCAAATTAATAATTTAATTCATCCTGATTGTTGTGGGGGTCTGTGTGCTCACTCTAGAGCTTGGTTTCGTTCTGACACCATATCTAGTACAAAACTTGTTGCGATTGCTTCTGATTATAACTATGTTTTGCCTCTTGATACCCGCTTTCAACCCTCACTTCAACGCTAAAAATGATCCAACTAGAGGCCAGTCGGTCTTTTCAGTGCATTGCAAAAGGCGATGTTTACTCGTTTCCAGAGACATACCTACGGTCATACCATGGCCCTCGGAAATAAATTTGTTTCCTCGGTTTCCTTACTTTTTATGTACGTGTTAGACTGAAGTTCTGCGGTGCAGTCATTACCACTGCGGACCGGGCTAGAATTGTGCGAATGCAGTTGCGGTAACACTTTGCCCTCAAATGTTGAGTGACCCAAGTTCACCACCTCATAAAGCCAATAATGACATCGCTGATTCACTCTAATTGGGGCAAAACTCTAGTCCAATTCATCTTTATTGTGGACTAACAAGAAGCGTCAAATCAGGTTATACGGAGAACTATGCAAAAGTGTGCGTGTAAATTGTCTAGATTGCGCGACTAAGTAGAAGCGGGATTTTTTTTATTTCGCGCGAAACCTCGCAAAAACGTATCGTCAAATTTCCACAATTCTTGATGTTGCTGGATGGCTTACGCCCGTTTCTTATCGCGTACACCCAAGGCTGTTGGCATTTTTTTATCTATGTTAAACAAACTTTAAATACTTTTATTCTCATGAAAAGGTATCTTCTCAAACCCGAATTTATGCGCCGCCTCGAGCGTCAGTTCGATCCATTCTCTGAATCTCCCATGGATGGCGTCATTGCAGCAACATGTGAGGTAAAGATTATATCCGGACAGTTTCTCTCTGACCGAAAAGTGGGCACCTATGTGGAAGTAGACATGTATGGTCTACCTACCGATACGATTCGCAAGGAGTTTCGCACTCGCGTCGTTCCTAATAATGGTTTGAATCCGGTCTACGGGGAAGATGCTGTGTTTGTTTTTCGCAAGGTATGTTGGTGATGATGTTTTCCTTAGTTTCACCCGATCCCTTCACACTTGTGTTGTCTTGGTCGGGCTATCTGATTACTTATATAAAAGCTCCATTCATAGGTCTACCTGCCTATCAGATTGTTCTGGGAGTTTCTTTTTTTAACCGTCAACTTATCCGTCGACGTGTTCGTCTTTTCATTTACAAACGCTCTTGCATGAGCTCATTGTTTCCTTCACGTACTGTTGAGGTCAGTTGTCTTCCGAAGCCCTGAGAAAACTGCGCTTCCCAGTGATTCCATATATCCCGCATACAAATATTCATTCATTCTTATTTTTAAACCGGCCGTTCCGCCGTGGGTCACACATCCTTTGTACAGAACACACGGAATCAGCGTACACTCCACGAATAACTGCAAAATTAATATTTGATTATCATTGAACATCCAGACTGGTTGGCTGTTTTACATTAGGTAACTGCCTAAACCGTGACACACGAGACACACCCTTCGATTGTCCCCCGATCTTTCGCCGCTGGGAAATTTCAGTGTCATGACTCACCAAACGTGGCGATTGCATTGCCCTTTGGCTTTTCGTTGAGTTTTGTATGATAATACAAGAACATGCACCATGCGCTATTCTGCTGATTCGGTTCGAATACATTCCTTTATGGTATTCGTTGCGGTAGCCGGCTTTAGAGTTTTTCTTACAGTGAGGTATTTTTACTACCCTTGCGGTACATTTGCTCCCAAGAAACTCCTAGACCTTCAGTCGTTGATCAGCTCTTGCTGAAGTGCATGACTCTTCGTGACGGTAAAATTTTTTTCGAGGATCATGGTCAACATATCCTGTGGGAGGAAATCGGGGCACCTTTGCCTGGCTTGAGAATTGAGCGGGTAGTCCCGATCACCACACCACCTACCTGAACCATTTTTCTTCATTCAAAAATTAGCGACATTATTTCACGTTATTTCTCGGGCCAGCTGGCATTTTGTATGCATATCTGCCACTAACCCATCGAATGATTTTTCTAGGTCGTCCTACCAGATTTGGCGGTCCTCCGGTTCGCTGTCTATGAGGAAACAGGCAAGCTGATTGGTCAGCGCGTGATCCCTTTGGATGGTCTCCAAGCCGGTTATCGACACATCTCACTGCGGACCGAAGGCAATTTCCCTCTTTCTCTGCCAACCTTATTCTGCCAAGTCAATCTCACCACCTACGTGCCGGAAGGGCTAAATGACTTGGTCGATGCCCTCTCCGACCCGCGTGCGTTTTTGAGCAAGGAAGAGCAACGCATGAAACAGGTAATTTGCTAGTTTGCTTTCGCTACATGTGTTCTATATGTAGCGTGTTACTTCAGGAAAATTGGCTATGTTTACTCGTTTATATCCTGCTAACTCCCTGCCACATATTCTAGCTTGCTAGCATGGGTATTGATTCCTCCGAGATTGCTGACGTCCCAACCACAACGGCGAAACGCACTCCAGCTAGCGGTGCAGCTGCCGCAAGTGGTCCTCCAGGTGCAGCGACCGAGGCAGGTGATGCCTCTGGTGCAAAGAAGGAAGAGAAGAAAGGTTAGTGGTGCTCTTTAGTGGCACTTGTTTTGTATGAACCCTACAGTTCGTAGTAAATCGTACATTCAAAGCGCATTGCTAGCGCTTTCTGTTATTTCTTTCATCAGGCACATGTATCGTGCTTAGGAACGGCCACATTCTGTGGGAGATGTCACCCATCATTCATCATGTGTATAACCGACCAGTATCCGAAACGGATTTGTCTGTCTGCACTTGGTGATGCACTAAACGCCTGCCCATAGTTTGGATAAAGCAAACAATTTTTCACTTAGCCAGATTCGCTACTGTGTGCGACACCCAGGTATCCGATGCAAACCTGAAGAAATAAGACCATCGGATTCGTTCAGAGGCCTCAGGATGATTGCGTCGAGATTAGTAGTGGCACCGCCTTATACAGTGATATGATCAGTTGGTTGTTTTGGGTTTCAGTATACTACCGAGCTTCCCTGCAGTGTATCTATCTAGCCTAATACCTTCCAGTCGAACCACTTCGGTTATAATGAATGAAATGACCTCGAGAAGTTCAATGGCTAGGTCACAAACTTACTGATCCGAAGGTATGTGCTTCGGAACCGTTCCTGGCATCCCGAGTGCTTCTGTTTATGCTTGAGCAACCTAACAGCATCTCGGTCCTCGTCCATGGCAGATATGCAGCTGGACTCTTATTAATAATGGGCGAGTGGGCAGCCCGAGAGCATAGTTTTGTTGTGGGGAACCACAGCAGAGTTACCTTGCTTCATCCGTCGGTGTTTCGCCCCTGATAAAGTACGGGGGCGCTGATCTCCACTTTCGCTCCTGCAGGCGCGCCTGTCGGTTTAGCTGGTTCATAGGTTTCCTAACGTCTAGACGCGCTGAGTCTCGGAATGCACCAGAATCGATTCCGATATATTTCGCCAGATGCTCCTTTCCAGAACTAGAATTTTTCATGATCTTAAATCAAAATCAATTTGTAACTCACGGGAGCTCCACCGTCGTTGCAGTCTTACTTGACGTCTAGCAACATTCCGCAGCCACCGAATGTTTGCAGATACAACCCGATGCCATGAGTTTCATCTTACCCATCCAGGGCACCTGGTTAAGAATAATCCTATTGGTCGTGGTTCCCAGTCGCGCGAACTCGTCGTGATTCTCCTCATTATCCTTCAGCTGACTTCTGTCTATCTTCAAGGTCTTGTTTACCATAAATAGCTGCCATTGTATGGCCTATTGCCAAAACCGTACATCATTGCTGAGAGATTTCGGCAACGGTACTCGCTTTGAATGGAGTGAACCCTTATCAAATACTCTAGAAGGCAGTAAGGAAACCGAGCCGACTGATGGGTGGCTCCAAAACACACACGTACTGAAATGACAGAGATTGCTGTAGTCATGTATGGTCATTTCTAAGGGATTTCAAAACCCATCAAATGCAGGCACCTCTGGAGTAATGGAGTTATTTTGCTTAGAAGGCAGTAAGGAAACCGAGCCGACTGATGGGTGGCTCCAAAACACACACGTACTGAAATGACAGAGATTGCTGTAGTCATGTATGGTCATTTCTAAGGGATTTCAAAACCCATCAAATGCAGGCACCTCTGGAGTAATGGAGTTATTTTGCTGCAAGAAAGCTAATGGTGCCGGTGCACTTGATGATTGCGATTTGTTTCTTGCCGACTTCCTGACTCATTTCCTCCGCAGAAACGCCATCGCAGTCGCGCTCATCAATGTCCATTTCGAATTCTCCTTCGGATAAGTAACCTTCCTAATTGTACAACGCGAACCTTGATTCCAAAGCAGTTGCATGTCCATCTTCCGATGTGATTATCTGTTTTACAAACCAAATCTCTGAATAAGATGCACATGTTTCCTTTCTTTATCAAAGATAATCATTAATTAAAAACAGGTGAAGGATTCCAAATCATCACACTGCAAATCAGAAGGACATGCGGTCTGTCGAACACAGGGTGATGTTTTTTCAGATTGCAACAAAAAACTAACTGTGCCTTGGTTGCCTGTAGATATGATGACACTAAGTAATGCATGTGTAACATATGTCAGTCCCAAGGGTAATCAGCTGGAATAGACGCTCTTAATTTGAATGCTTCAGTTGACCGTTGCACATGCACGAATCAGCATAGCGTCCGCAACGCGTCGCGAAATTGGGGAAATTATCGATGTAAAATACTAGGGAAACTGGCATGGGCTGAGTGGACCTCATATAACACCATCGTTCTTCGCAAGAATGCTTGGTGAACTGTGGCATTCATTTTGAAGGCATGTGGAAAATATTCTCCAAGAACGTTGTAATCATTTTTTATAAAACATTCTCCGAATGCGAAATGGATGGGTTCTGTAAAATGAAATCGGTCGTTCCCTGAAACGTGCACATAGTTCAACATAACACATTTTGCGCTGGATGAATGCGTAACCAGTATTCAATCAATTTTGGAGTTGTGGCTGTGAGAGAAAGAGAGTAAAACTCATATTTTCGGGGACTCTCCAAGACGTAGTTGGTGGGTTTTTTCACTCGGTATTTTATGCGTTCGAATCTTCATTGTTTTGGTCACACGAAGGCGCTATACCAAAGCCAATCATTCTTCTGACCTAGCAGAATCCGTGCGAGCAATCAGTAGGAATTATAATTGCTCGTCGCATGCTATATATGACGCCGGACAGCTTGTACAGATGTGTCTCGGGAAATTAGATTCCGCTACATTAGTTCCCATACTTACATTCCCATACTTATACTTCTAAGCGCCCCTGGTGTAAGTCTGAGAATTTCACCATCAATTTTTTGCATACACCGCTATTGTTCATGTTTTCACAGTGATCAGTGTCGAAAAATCTGTTGCACTCAAAATCTACAACCTGGTTACTTCCACAGACAATGCGGACACACAATTTTCTTGTGGAACGAAAGCTCTTCTGTACATATTCTACTCTTTCAACGAGATGGCTCAGTGGTTAGAGGGCGAATATACTGACCGGAACGTCTGCAGTTCGAACCCGACCTCTGCATTTCAACTTCTCTTGTCTATGATTGGGTAACCTGTTACTATCCCAGCCCGCGTGCTTCCTTCAGGTGGCATGGCAGCTAGGTACCGAAAGAGTGCTACAGCTGAACGATCGATCGACAGTTCGTCCTACCTTAAAATTCCATTCGTACGAAAGAGCACGTCTCATATGTGTACTACAAGTTGTCAGTTCAGCTACTGTATGCTCATCTATTGCCTTCGTTTTATGGGACCCGACCAAAGTTTAATCTCCAGAGAGGGACAGCTCCATTTACTGAGGCTTATGGGACGTGCACTGATTCTGCTTTGAATTCAACAAGGAAATTGTTGAAACTGGACGCTCTAGGCCCTCAGTATAACGAGCTTGGTCTGTCAACTGCCTAACTTTATCCCATCAGAAAGTCAAGACTTTGTTTTCATTGAGTTCATACGGATACCTCTCGCTGGACAGACGACACTTGAAACGAACGTTGTCAGTTTTGCTGTACCAGCGGTTTGACAGAGTGACTGATTATTTCCAGTGCAGATGAACGATCCCATGTGTCGTTTGCATAGGCTCAGCTTTGTACGACAATTTTCCTTTAAGTGTATGTACCTGTCTCTTTTCTTTCATCAGACGATCCGAAGTTCGATCCGATCTCTTTAAGTCTACTCCAGACTGACAAGAATTACCAAAAGTTACTGAAGAAGCAGTCGAAAGAGTTGGAGCTTGTGCAGCGCAGACAGGACAAGGATGCAACGGCAATGTTGCGCAACCACACAGTAGTAACCGATAAGTTGAACACCACTCATGCCAAGGAACGCTCTAGTACGAAACGGCCATCAAAAAAGTGAGTCTTTGGTGAAGAATTTCAGCTTTGTATCACGATTTGGCCTCTCTCGACTCCATGCTATATGCCCAAACTCGAATTCTTAGCTTTATTGGGAAAAGTTTTACAGTTGTGTCAAAGCACTAACGATGTTTTGTCCTTCTACACAGAACAGAACAAACATTTGTTTGTTTCATCCGTTTGCCTGCCAGCGCATCTGCAGGGCAGACTCAATCTTGATTTCAACAGTCAATGCTCGTCCTCATCGATTTCAATGGGTCTTCTTTTCGAAGATTGGCTTTTGCGGTTACTTGAATATTCGGCCACCAGCTTTTTTCTCCAAGTCTCTTTACACTTCTGTCTGCGTCAAACCTAGCCCCATGTTACAGTGTAGATCAGCAATCGTCCCGGTGAGGATATCGTGTGTTAATTACTGTTAGAAAGATTTATCGGGAACCCCCTATATTGAAGGACATTCAGAAAATTTGATGTTATTTTTAAAAACGCATTAGACTCGGACTGTGATAGCAACATTTCTTTAATAGAACGGCTAATTGTGACGATTTTATGCACAGCACATTTCAAACGAACTCTGGACGTTAAGATGGCTATAGATGGGAGTGATATGATTTGTGCAGTATATCCGGCAGAATACCCAAGAACACTTCTGGCTACTAAACTACTAAACATTTTGCAACAGGCTTTCTCATGTACCCCAGGAACTGAACGATAAGTCGAATGTCTAAGGAAGCATCCCGTAACAAGCTTCTGGGCTACGCACAGCGTTCTCAGAACGAGACCATGAAATATCGTTCATGAGACCCCGTCGAGTCTGTATTCAGTGTGGGGGAACTATTTGAAGTCTCAAACCCCAAAACCGTATTGACCGGAAAGTCCCCAATCTTATCACTTCACAACAGTTAGTGTTAACGATTCCACAACTAAATTCGACTCATTCTATCGGAGTTCTAGACACACTAATGAGCATGTTTCAAGTGCCTAAGAAAGGGATGAACATATCACCACCTTGTAAACCAAAGAAGATGGCCTCCAATAGAAAATCAATGTAACTCTCGGGGTGGGAATTTTTAGGCATCAACTCTCGTAATTTGAGTGCTGTTGATGAACTGGTCCTGGACAATCCTGAGCTGACCCATCTTACTACGACCTTGTATAGGAATACCCGACAACCTTCTTCTGTCAAAGGCATATTTGAGTCCAAAAAGCACGATCAAATGGTTTTTTGTTGCAAACACATCCGCAAGCCATTGAGTGCACAAAGTTCACAACGGTGTCCCGATTCGCGTGCACGTTCCGGGGGACCAACCGGTATCAGCTTTTCGGGTGGCAGTGCGACACTGATCTTATGAAAAGCAGTCACAAGAGTCCAACATTGGATCAACACTTCGCAATGCATTCCATATTTGTTATCTTTGTCAACATAGTTCGGTATTGCTATTAGGACTTTCAATTCCCGATCCCGTCAAGCGAACTTACGATGGGAAGCAATAGGGTTCTTTTTTCTTGACAATCATCAGCAGTTCACCTGAATACGATGTTATGCTATGTATGTTCAAGTACCTCGGGTATCGACTTGATCTTCGAATGAAGATTTTTCGATATGGCCTCTCGAATGTTTTCCGTACTGAAGACAGCACTTGCATTTTATCGGTGTATTGAGTAATTGTTCCAGCAGCATTAAAACCGGCTTACTAACATTCTGGTTCAATGGAAGTGTCTTCCTTATTGTTAGTAACATTGTAGGACCGCTCACCTCACTAATTTCGGGTTGAACAGTTTCCCACTGGCACAGTAGCTTGAGTTGAAGCCACGAAGATGCATTGTTCGCGTCTTCGGTCTGGTTTTATGTAGCCTTCTTTGCTGTAACTACATTCGTCTTACTGCCTATGATCACGTGCGGAAACGTCATTCATCCTCTCGGAGTTGGATAAAACAACCAAGTCGAATGCAATTCCAACCATATGGAGGATAATAGCATCCATCCTTACGGTGGAAAATTTATCATTACTTTTTCGTTTTCCATCTCCTGATATGTGGAGGAGTACGAGATAGAGCACGACGCGGGCTTTTTTCATCACTTCACCGCTTTTCGCTTATGATAAAATTGAGTGAAAATGTTCCGATCGATACATTGGTATGATTTCAAGGGATGTGTGAATGGCTTTTCACTCATTCTCTGAGAAACCCACGTTAATACTCGCAATTCATTTTTCGCTCGAAAAAGTTTCTCTGGGATCCTCAATTGATTAGAAAGTACATCTGACATATCTATATGAACTATCAAGAGTTTCTGGGTAAGTTCGTTCCCAGGAGTTCGTTTTTCCGCGCTCAGGAAGTGGTCAGTCTCAAATATTGACGGTGAACATTCGATGCAGAAGCCGTGTCTAGACTGAAATTCCCCGCACTTCATAGCTTACGAAGAATCTATCGGTTATGTCCAGTTGGCACCTTTTTGCTGATTGAGATTAAATCAACTGAGCGACTAGAACTGTCTTCATTAAAAATGAAAAAGAGATCGGTACAGAGCCACCGTAGAAAAGGTGTGCTCTTCGGGAAGTCTGCTGGAAGCAAACTTCCTTCATTGGCCAAGCTGCACGTACATGTACTGGCTATAGTACATGTTCGTAGACGTTTCACCACTTCTAAAATTCAAACACATGACCCAAGTACACCAATCTGCTTTACGTCACCTCCGCTATGTGGGCTCTTTCGACTACATGCCTTAGTTGATTCTTCACCTACCGGTGCTAGATCTTTTTTGCATTCTCCAATTTCCTTAAAACAATGGTCGCAATCAGGGAGTATCAGGATGGGATTTACAGAGAGTTTCCAGTCCCCATTGGCTAGTAGTGAAGTTCTTATTTTTCCAGCCTGGTTTGCATGCAAGTAGAACTGACGTGCAGAAGTGCAGAACTATGTAACCGGACATCAGTTTACACTAAATGTCACACGAGTGTCGCATGATTGAAACACAACTAAGCAGAATGGCCATCATTATTGCAGAAATCTTCTCTGGATTCGTGGTCTTCGTTCTCATCCGGGACCTCGACCTCATCTCTTCCGTTCGGCGCTGTACGCCAACTCCCGCGGCCGTGTAAAGGTCTACGGGAAGCTTTCTCCTGAGTTCACCACATCAAGTGGTGTCCGACAGGGTTGTCCTCTTTCACCTTTCCTCTTTAACTTCGTCATTGATACGATCATGGAAGAC